TTTTATAAAAAGGAAAAATAGTTCTAGAAGAATAATTCTAGAGACTAAATGTAGTTCAACTGATCCTTGGAGAAGGACATCATGTTCAGAAGGATGGAGGGACAGTGCAGGAGAGGAAAACTGTAGATGGAATGGATTGACACAGTGACTGGGGCGATGGGGACTGGTGTGTCGGAATTAGTGAGACTGGCTCAGGACAAGGTAGGCTTCAGAGGTGCTGGACATAGGGTTACTATGGGTCATAGGCAATTAGATGACAACAACAACAACAAATTGAGTTCAGTGGAGGAGTGCTACAGAGAAAATTGGGGTAGGAAAAATAACTGGCCTACATGTGTCCAGCTATGGCCTGCCCACTTCTTACCTAGAGTCCTGGGACAAAGGCTGCCCTCCCTTAGCCAAGCAATGTTCCTCCCCCAACTGCCCAACAACCTCCACAAATCGCCAAGACATAAACATATCAGTATTACTGTGGCTATTACACATTCTTAGCCTTATACTCACCAAAAAACCAAAACCAAACAAACAAAAAAACAAAAACCACAAACAAGCAAGAAGCCCTCACTATCAAGATGCTTTGACTTGTGACCATCTAGACAGAGTGGAACTGCACCATTGAGTTTTCTCCCTCAGATCACCCGCTAGCTTTGAACTGCTAACCTTCTGGTTAGTAGTCCAATGTTTAACTCACTATGCCACCAAGCTTCCTTCATTTATATAAAATGAGCTCAACTAAGTAATTTTATCTATGTTCTGGGGTTATTTTAAACGAGAAATTTTTACTGATGAAGTGGAGCAGTAAAAAAAATAAAACAGAACTTGAACTATGAAATAACAGACTTAACTGGTGTCAGCAAGACCAGAGATAAAATACAAAGTAATTATTGTCATCTGTAGACTACTGCACTGTAAGTAAAGCCTACATTTGAATTCCATCTTCTTTCTGCTGGACCATCCTCAAGGAACTGCTGACATAAACTTTGGAAAAGTGACAGCTCACATCCAATGACATAATCAATTTCTTAATAATAATAAGCTATAAAATATACACAATACCAGATCTGGTAATAACACCATTAACAATAATCTTAAACCTCAAATTTTTTTCATAAACATAAAAAGTAGAACCCTAATAGCTTTTACATTCAGATATGTTTTGGGACAGGTATCAGGGGGAAAAAAATTTGGATTCCAGTTTTAGTAAATAGATTATTTGAATTTAACTTAAACAACATAAAATTAACATTAAGCATTGA